ACTTTCCACATAGCCGTCCAAAGTTTTAAAGGAAGGATTTGGGCTATTGAGTTTGATCTAATAAAACACAATGTCTAAAATAACAAAAAAGTTCGTTTTTTCGAGTCTGGTTCGAATAGGAAAAAAGTACCGGAACTAGGCTGAACTTTGTTGTTGGTTTACAAACGAGATGTTGCATTGCCCAGTTGCAAAAAGTCTTAATGCATGGGGTGAAAGAGTGAGCGCGGGGTGGTGCAATACACGGATGGCATGCGACGGGTTCATGTTACTTAACTTGATTGATCTATAGTTGGGGGTCTTAGTGAGAAGACAATTGATTAAGAATGATGCTTGTTGTGTAAATTATGTCTGTCTGATATCTGGAGCTAAACTAAGAAGATTGGGCTGTACGTGAGATCGTTAATGATCCAAAAAAAAACAGCAGATCGTATGTTGTAAGTGATGAGTGTGGATTGTGTGAAAATATTTTTGGCTGTGAGGATGTATGTACTATCGGGGCTGAATATTCTGGTGTTCTTCGTCAAAGATGTCATGTAACCTAGTCAAATCCGTGGGATGAAGTGGCTGGCTCTAAGGTCAATAATTTTTTTTTTTTTTTTTTTTTCCACTACCTACTAAGGACGTTACACAAGCCACCGAATGTGTAGTGATTTCCTTAAAAAAGTCATAGACTAAAGAAAATTTGTGTTTTGTGACCTACACATTTCCATATCGTAACAAAAAATATGAAGTATGGAATGGAGGACTATAGGTGTTTCCACGTCTTGATGCTTGGCCTTCTTGTTTGAAAGAAGGAACGATATTTTTCTTTGAATACGTGGGGTTGTTTCCTTACACTATAAAAACCCTTTCAATAAAGTGTTACCTTGCAAGCTAAGTAAATCATTTAGAGTCTTTTTGATCCTAAACTGTCCTTCATTGTAATGATTTTATTAGCACTCTGATACCAAATGAACCAATACACAGTAAATACCCAGTTGCGAAGTTCAAGCGCGCGGGGTCGTAATACTAGATTGTGAACGTGATTTTTGACCGACAATTTAAAAAACACCGGTAGGTCCACTCCTTGTGTGTTTGTGCTACATAGGCGTTACGACTAGCGCCTTAAATAATCAGGTTTCAGAAAGACTAAGCTACCCCTAGGGAGGGGCTTTTATTGATGGCTGTTTTTGATTGGCTAGTAGGGGTAGAAACCCTAGTGGGCTGCTTTTGGTGTCTTGTTTAGTGGGGGGGCTCTCGGCACGGTATCGTGAGCTATAGCGATTGAGTACAAGAACTCTAGGACATGTAAATGTGAGCTATGAGTGCGAATAGCGGAATGCACTCAATGCTAACACTTCGGGAAAGGCTGAAACGTGTATTGTTTTTCAATGCGTCCTCGGTTTTCGCTTATCGTTACTACTTTGACCTACAGCGCAAGTAAAAACTCTGCTGCGATTTGTACTAATTATTATTCGGAAGTTGAAATTCATTAGTTCATCATTTGAACTCTACTTCTGCTCATTCAGTGCCATTTCCGCGTATAAAAATCAAGTTGTCAAAGTTTTTTTACATAAAATAAGGGGGTGGTTGGAGGTGGTCACGTCTGCTGACTCTACATTAGCAAGGCGCAATGGTTATATCAGCTTCTGGCGACAAAGATTTTGAGGAGCTTCACAATCGGGCTTGATGTTGATCCAAGCTAGGGGGTTCGGTCTTCTTTTCAACAGTATCATACAGGGGTAGAATCAGACGGCGGAAGCTGCCGAAGGCGGGGATCGAACCAGCGCCCCATACATACCAGGGACTCGTGTTACTACAACTACACCACAAATGCACACTTGCGCCACCACTCATTCTTCAACATCTCTATGCTAGCTAACAGCCACCAACCTTTAACAGATTTGGTGGAGTATGCGATTTCGTTCTATAAACCCAGTTAAGCTGACAGCCAGTGTTAGATGTAATACTCCGAAATTATAGTATTTTTGGCTATGGCTGTCAGCTCATGGGTTTATAAAGCGAAATCACATACCCGAGCAAACCTTTTAAAGGTTGGTGACTGATAGCTAACACAGATATATTGGCAGATTAAGTGGTGGCGCACATGTGCCTCGGTGGTATAGTGTTGGTAGCACACGTCACCGGTATGGATAAATCACCGCTCCGATTTCCGCCTGAGGCTGTATTTTTGCTCACCCATTTAATTCTCTCAGGTATATATGCAACATCACAACACTGCGAAAAAGCAGTAAAAATACTAGAATTTCGGAGTATCAAATTTTTACTACAAACTTTGGTGAAACACTTTGTCAAGCGAAAAAAAGCCAAGCAAATACAAGTAAACACTCCGAAGAAAAAAGCGTAATTTTCTCTTCGTTGCTACAGCTCACTAGCACAGCGTTTCAAAAAACCTAGTACACCATCAGCACCAAAATTTTTTCGGTTATCAAATGGCTGCTATAGTCTTATTAAAGGTCTGTGCTCGACGAGAAAACCACGAAAATGTGCGTGTACCATGAGTGGTGCACGTGGTCTGCTTTAGTGCCAGAACCTAAGGAAAAACCTAACGTAAGTATAATCCTTTATTTCGAGTGCTTTGTTTAGACCATGCTCAAATTTCAATATATCCTTTGATTATTATTTGAGCCAACTTGTCATGTGGTCTGGTAAGGGCTCTTGTACAGCCCGATACACGTGTTTTCGTCCTTACAGACTCATCAGCCGGGCAGAACCCGTCGTCTGTCGATCTTTTCATAGTCAGTTCTCTCGCGAGCCTTAGACTCCTTATAGAAAGTCATCGACGACGAACGCTTTACACTCTATGTCAAGCATAAGATATATTGAAATCTGAGCGTGGTCTAAACAAAGCATTCGAAATAAAGGTATAATTATGATAAAAGTACCAGCCAATGAGCAATCGAGTGCACAACACTCTGGGTTAGGTGAAGGTTTCACTTGACATAGAGTGTAAAGCGTTCGTCGTCGATGACTCTCTATATGGAGTGTAATGCTCCCAAAAGAACTGACTATAAAAAGATCGAAAGACGACGGGTTCTGCCCGGCTGACGAGTCTGTAAGGACGAAACATGTGTATCGGGCAGTACAAGAGCCCTTACCAGACCACATGACAAGTTGGCTCAAATAATAATGAAAGGATACATTGAAACAACCTAACACTTCTCCTCCGCGCTTGGCAATATTTGTGGGAGATCATCTCTTGCTGAACGCCACAGTTTGGCATCTGGGAATTATCCTGATCACGATAGTGCAAGATACGCTTGAATAGTATTCGGAACAATTCACTTTCGTCAGTTAATCTAACTAGCGCTACTAAGTAATCTTGAACGTTGTGCGAATCATCGTTTTCTTAAAAATGTCTCAGTAGCTTTGTTCCAGATAACAAAAGGAAAAAATTTTCAATTCATAGAAAAGCTGAATTATTTTGAAAGGAAGTTCGTACATCGAGTTGGAGTAGGGCTGGCTGACATAGCATTGAAGCCTTACGCTGCGACAAACTTGTAGGAAATCTCTCTGAACCTAAGAAATAAATGATAAACAAAATATTAGTAATTACATATCTTTCTATGCTTCGTTGAAGAGATAGTGGAAGTGTTGTTCAGTATACTAATACCGTAAAATCAATCCATTCCATATTTTATTTTTGAACTTTGAAGATGACCATACTAGTAGCCCCAATAGAAAATTTTAAAATTTTCAATATAGCCCTCCTAGGCTTTAATAGCCTATAACAGTGGTTTCACGGTTCGCATCAGATAATCTGAAAACTGATCATCATTTCCCTTAATACGTACTCTTAGGATCTAAAAATATAGCAATTTCACCCGTAGGAGAACCATGGATTCTTGCAATCAGATTCCACAAAATTTAATCCAGAATCATGCTTATCGTTTTCGCTCTGTGAACGGCCAACAGGTCTTGTTAATTAAGTCTTATTTAGGCAAATTTGCCTCCAATAGAAGATTACAATTATACACATTCCATTGCAGGAGAATCTGTTGCTCTCCTTCGTTCCACCCTCTCCAGGGTATTGCTCAATAGTATATCATTAACTCTGTACAGTTTTTTTCATGATTGTTTCAACATCGGATTAGTATCAGTTTGAAGAACCAGAGCTACTTTGACGATATAAATTTGCCCATTAGATCGCCAGCCACGTTGTTTAACATTCTCAGTAGTTCATTACTATCCGCATAATTTCCATAATGACTGTCACGCACTCAGTTTAGGTCGAACGTTTCTCTTTCTCTCTTCTCTACTCGATAGCATTAGTAACAACTCTCACTGAAGTTTTATGCTTTCTATCTAACAATGGTCCCTACAGATTCTCCGTCTTCCATAGAGAATACAACGTTCTGAGTATACATGGAATCGATTTAGGGATGAACTTCCAGAGTGCGTTGACGGATTACTTTACACATTCTATATAACATAATTACTCACGTACAGATAGATAGATGTGGTCTCGTACATTAAATGCATCAGTGACCTCACCATAAATCTTAGCACTATCAAAGTTATATTTTATATCGCATCCTGACATCAAAGATCAACGTAACAGAAATCAAAGTGATGAATTGTGACCTCAACGCCGTAATTTTCTTATTCAACAAGTACGAGGTCATTGAAAAATGATTTATTCAGTGCAGATTAAGAATACAATACAGGTAATTGTGATGATTGATGTTTCGGCCTCCTTATTCAGATTCGGAAGAGTTAAATTGGTACGCGGTTTGCTCAGTCAAACACTTTTATAAACTAATCAAATGAGAATTAACATGTGAGCATTAAACCGGAAGTGTTTGATTGAGCATTGCATACCGATTTGACTCTTTCAGGTCTTGAAAAAGGCGAAAGCGTCGAAACGTTTTCCATCACAACTACCTGAATTGTACTGTTTACCTGTACTAAAGTGGACATTTTTTAACATCCTGGTGTCTGTTATTCCAAATATATCTAAGAAACCTGAGTGATGAGCAGAATTGGTAGCGAAATAATATCTCTGTGGTGTAGTGGCAGCACACGCCCTAGGTATGAGTGAAACACGGGTTCAACTCCCGCCTGAGGTCGAGTTTTTGCCCACCACTCAATTCTCTTAGGTATTTTGGAACATCATAACATTGCGAAAAAGCAGTAAAAACTTTAAATTTTAAATATTACATATTACAATGGCTGTCAGTTTACCTGGGCTTATAAAGCAATATTGTTTACCTCACCAAACCTGTTATAGGTTGCTAAGCCGATAGCTATGAGTGAACAATGAATGGTAGGATAACGGTGCCTCTGCGGTGTAGCGGTAGCATGTACCCCAGGTATGGGTGAAACATGGGTTCAACTCCCGCCTGTGGTCGAGTTTTGCTCACCACTCAATTCCTCTTAGGTATATTTGGAACATCACAACACTGCGAAAAAGCAGTAAAAACATAAGGAACCTCGTATTAATTGAGTAAGAAATTTGCGGGCTTATTCGATCAATGCCGGGTAAACTGGTAGTCGGTTGTGAAAAAAATGATCTTACCCACGGCTTCAGTGCAATTAGGGCCAATGTGTGCTTCTTAGATCAGTTCCGTTGACGGGTGATTGCTGACAACCACTAAAATTAAAAACGGCTATGTGAAGGCAGAGCGAGGGTGTTGATGGTGCAGTAGGAAACTTGATTAGCTTCCTAAAAAGCTAGTAGCAGGTTCAAGGCCACCCCAGGCGGTCATTATAAATGAATTAGGCAAAAAATAGAGTTGAAGTTGTAATAGGGACGCTGATTCAATGGATTTGAAAGGCAGAGGGAATGTGAAGCATATAGGGGCAGTTTAGGGTAGCTTTCAACAAAGCGAACTTAATGTGATTACACGAAGCTTACAAAAGAGACCTCATCGTCAAGATGCCATAGCTATAAACGCTTTCTTGCTCTGAACTATGAAACAGACGCATATGTTCAACTGAACAACTTTGGCACAAGATAGGGACGAATGGAAATTTCATTTTGACTCGCTAAAGTTGCTCCAGATCAATTTCTTTTTCCTGCGAGGGTAACAGTGGAATGGAAAGGATAGCGTTCTCTGTTCCGACATAAAGTTTTTACTTGAACTTCAAAACAAAAATTCAAAAGTTTCTTCTTAGACTGTAAGGCACACTAGTCATCGCTGGCATCATAAATTGCAATAGATACAAAATTTAACCTCACAGTTTCAAACGATATATTATAACCGTTCTTTTCGAGTGTTTTCTTGTGACCACGCTCAAATTTCAGCACATATCATAATTGTTATCTGAGCCTATTTGTCATGAGGTCTGTTAAATGGGCTCTTGTACAGCCCGATACACGTGTTTTCGACCTTACAGTCCTCGTCATTCGGGCAGAACCCTTCGTTTTTTTATCTAACCCTGTGTGGGTACTCCAGTTCCCACACTCAGAATTAGCAACGACGAACGATTTACACTGCACTGCTGTCAAGTGAAGATCACTAGAACACCAGTTTTGTACACTCGATTGCTCTTGGCTAGTATTTTGAAATATATTACACCGCTTTTTTCATGTGTTTTCTTAAGACCACGTTCAAATTTCAACATATCTCATGACTGGCTAAAAGACGAAGGGTTCTGCCCGACTGACGAGACTATAAGGTCGAAACACGTGTATCGGGCTGTACAAGAGCCCATTCAACAGACCATATGACAAGTTGGCTCAGATAGAAATTGTGAGATTGAACGATATTTTCCTACGCGAGGCAGTGGATCCCAGATACTAGCCCTAGATGGAAATATATTATTAGTATAAAATCCATATATGAACAGATATACTAACAACTTCAAGATATACTACAGCTTAAGTGATCAGCAGCTCAGGTCATCAATCACATTTGCATTTGTTAAATATCTGCTTAGCGGCCAAATGAGAAGTATCTGAGCATTGCCTGCACTTCGTCTACATTGTGACGAGCGAGGTGGTGTATATCACTATAGCCATCACTGTCACTATCACTAATACTACCATTATCACTACCACTATCATTGTCACCATCACTATCACTACCACCACAACCATTATCATCACTATCACTATCACTATCACTATCATTATGACCACTGTTAACATTATCACTATCATTATCACCACCATCTTTATCACTAATGATTATCACTATCATCCATATCACTATCATCACTAATCATTATCATTACCATCACTGCCATCATCATCATTATCACTTTCACTATCGTTATCAATACAATTATCACTTTCACTAACATTATCATTATCACTATTATTGATATTATCACAATCATTATCGAATGAAAGTATTATTCATTTTAACCAGCTGCAAATTTCGACTTTTTGGTGAATGCATTGAATGGAATGCACTGAGTAAGTGCTCTTATCACATCACACAAACAGCTCAAAAGTGTGGCAACTATTAACACTTTCGTAATCATTAGCATTACAAAAGCATAATCATTATCACTATCATAATCATTTCCATTATGTTTATCTTTAGCGATGTAGTGTTGTCGTTGATACGTAAGAAATGTAGATGAAATCTGGAATGTATAGATATTCTCTTTGCTGAGAATATCTCTGTTAAATGTTTTTGGATGAAATTCCATCACTTCATAATGGAGATGCTCAGAACCATGTGGGTTTGTCCTCCCCGCAACTATCATACTGCCTAGAGCTTTTCACCAGATTTACCGCCTTTCTCACAGGGGCGCGACGGCCGCCATAACAGTAACTGAAGAGATTTGACGTCGCGCGGTGTGAGACGACACGTGGCAAATGGGCGTCAACGGGTTAATGTAAGAAGTCCCAGAGTTTTATATGTATACAATAGCTGTCAGCTTGATTGGGTTTGATACCAAGATGTGCTTACCAACGAAACCCATCAACGATTGGTTGCTCATAGTTTCGCTGCCTTCTTGACCCTTCGCGGAAGATAAAGGTCATCTTGACCCTCAAATTTTCAAAAGGCCTTTTTTTTTCGCCGAACAAAGCTATTTATCTAGATTTTAAATTTTTTGAACGAAAGCTTAAATATCGGGGATTCCAGTACTTTGCTTGGTTTTCAAAAAAGCCTATGTAGTAAGCTGTAGGATAAAAAAAAAATTATGTTTCCACATAACTCGGTTTTGCCTTACCCTCAGCTAAAGTCTGTAGGTCACTTACTACTGGACTCACACTAAGCTCATTCGATAGCCCAATTCTCGGCGAATTTGACGCTTAAACTGGTTCCCGAAAATTTTCATATTGCACCGTGAGATGGGAAAGAAGATTATGCTCCACGTTCGGAGTTTTCTCTGCATATAAAAGTTATATATATCTATAAAATTATACATACTTGTAGCGAAAACATAGACTTTCAGAGTGGAAACAAAGAACCTAAAGTACTTTTCGAAACAAAAGAAAAATCCTTGTTGAAGAACGGAAATCGTGCGCCACTGGCAATATCGATTATGCTGCCGTCCACAAATGCATAAATTGAACAAGGAGTGGTAACGAGTGATAGCCACTGGTATAGTGGTATCACGCGCAACCCGTTTTGGGCCGGACGCGGGCCCAACTCCTGCCTGAGGTAGGACGTGTTTGCGTATTACACAGCATCCTTGAATACACGGCTACAACTTATCATATCTTCTTTGTCGATTGAGCCAATATTCCACACGTCAAGCCCACAACACAACTGCTACAGGATGAACTGTCGACATGAAAAAGGAGTATTATCTCGACAATCAGTAGCGAACGACAAGCGTTCTGTATTGAAAACACCACCGAGTGAGGTTGTCCATTCGAGCAGTGATCCACCGAAGAAAGTTCGAACGGAACAAGGAAGACGAGTACACAGAACACGGGCAAACAACTATGAACAATCGACCAGCATTACCGACTTTGAAGGCGCAAATGTCAAAACATCAACCGAATAAAGGTTTCTGATACGAATCGCAAGCTCGACCAGGTAAAAAGGATCACAACTCGCCACGGAATCGAGAACTTCTCCACACCGTGTGCATCGAGCTTGGGTGTCGGTGACAGGTCCTCTGAAGAGCGCATGTGGCGCACTGGTTAGAGGTTAGAGATGCTCTGCATCGCACTCAAGGTCGATAATTCGATCTCGCGCTTATGATTTACCAGACTTCCATTCCTCCTGCGTCGGTAGAATTGGCATCAGGCTTGTTTGCGAGGATAAACACCACTGACTTGATACATCGCTAGGGCACAACAAGTCATTGTATGACCACTTATGTACTCAATCACCTCAAACGAGCTAGAAACTCAAGACGAATGCACAGCATACCCCTCTAAGTTTGATCAACGCCAAAAAATCTTTTTATCCTTTAGAAAATCTTTTATCTGATCTTGGATCACTTCCCACAAAGAAGAGCTCACGGTGACGATGTTTTAATCAACAATGTCGAATGGAAATTTTAGACACTCGGTCAAGTAATCGTACATCATTGGAAAGGTGCAGGATATTATAGACGCCGTACGAAGGCTGCTTTTAAATTTACATGCCTTCCTTGATATTTGGTATTCGATATCATCGATAGGAGGAGAAAAATGTTTCTTCTAACATTTATCACGTTACAATTTTCACAAGATTTACTTCAGTTTCTTCTTGATGCGCAAGTCATTTGAATGACCGCACTTCTTCTTTCTGCAGTTGGAAGCACGTGGTGGCAATCGAGCATAGCATTTACGACAGATCTGCTTGTCGCAGTTGTATTTCTGTGCCAGTTGGCGAAGAGACGGCTCGATAATACCTAGAACATGATGTTCATGTCCTAAATTAACCTGATACTGATAGCAAGCTACATGGAAGCATAATTTCTTAAATATAAATACAAATAAATCCTAGATATGATTGACATTCTAGTATTACTAAGCCTTTCTGGTCCCAAAACTAAAAAGTTATAATTAAACAGTAATTCTGAAAAAAATATTGATGACAGTACCATTATATAAACATCGTAATTGGTTAATATGTCAGTGAACAGATGACGACAAGTTCTTACAGTGAAGCCTAACTCTGCTCCAGTTCTCTTGATGATAACTGAACGAAACAAATGAAAGCAATACTGGTATAATCCCATTTTCAGACTTTTTTTTCATTAATTCAAAAATAATCAGTATAAACAAATTAAAACTCAAGTAATTCTTCGTGAAAACATATTCTTAGAGTGACAAAACACAGTCTCATTCGTAAGTATGATATATTTCCACCTGAAGGGTTTCAAGTATCAAAAAAAAAAAACACGAACACTCACAGGAATTGAGCGTCATAGATTTAGTACTCAAAAATAAACTCAGATATACCAAAATTAAATAGGATAAGAGTTCATATGAGAAACTAAAACGAGTAA